TTTTTTTTTTTTTTTTTTTTTTTTTTTTTTTTTTGAGGAGGTGGAGGGGTGGATTAGATCCTGTTTTAAAGGATCCAGATAAAACACGGGCAGTACACAGGGTGATCGAAAATATGGTAAATATTTTAAATTTAGAATTTGTTATAGTGAAAAAACATGAACATTAATTCCCCTCAAAATACTCCCTTTACTTCAAACACCTCACCATTCTTGCCACTTTTTGCAGTACTTCTAGAAGTCTTTTCTTTTGCTGCCTCAGTGTCCTAAATGAATTCAAAATGTTCACCTTTCATGGTCACTTTGTCCTTGGGGAAGAGCCGTAAGTAGCACGTGTCAGACCTGGCAAATAAAGTGGACGAGGACACACTGTACTGTTTCTCACAAACCCTCCTTTCAGAGGGCACTTTATTTTTGGATCACAGCTCTTAATAGACATGAAAGAGGACTTCTAGTAGTGCTTCAGAAAGTGACAAGAATGGTGGGATAACTATATGTAAAAGAAAGAGGGGAAGTATTTTGAGGGAGATTTAACACATTATGACAGGACATTTGTCTCACTACTGGGTGGCTTGAACCACCAGTGGTACATACATGACTGTCCCAGTCTTCAAAAACTGTCTTTGAGCTGGGCACTGTGGAACATGCATGTAATCCCAGCTATTTGAGAGGCTGAGGCTGGAGGACTGCAAGTTCTAGAGGACCCTAGGCAATTTAGTGAGACTTTGTCTCCAAAAAAAGGACGGGATGTAGCTCAGTGGCAGAGCACTAGCCTAGCATTAAGCCTGGCATAATTCCTAGTACCACCAAACACACACACACACACCCTCACATACTCTTTGACTCTGTTTTTTTTGTTTGTGTTCTAGGCAGAGGAAGAAGGTTATTTTGAAGCATTCAAAAATGAACTTGAAGCTTTTAAGTCAAGAGTAAGACTTTATTCTCAGTCACAAAGTTTTCAACCTATGACAGTTCAGAATCATGTTCCCCATTCTGGTGTTGGATCTATAGGTTTATTAGAATCCTTACCACAGGTAAGTTGGAAAAGTAAATATGTATTTTATAAATTTAGTAGTTTACCTAATTTGTATTCTTTTGGACTACTCATGTGTCATGTGCATGATCATTTAAAATGCTCTTATCTCAAAAGATAACCCTTGCCAGGTATGGTGGTGCATTCCTGCCTGTAGCCCAACACTCAAGAGGCTGAGGCAGTTCAAGGCCAGCCTGGGCTACATAGTGAGTTCAAGGATGGCCTAAACCACATAGTGAGACCCTGTCTCAAAAAAAAAAAAAAAAAAAAAAAAAACCCAAAACAAAACCTCTTAGTCCTATTTCATACCATCATATTTGGCATTGAATGTCTTCTACCTCTTAGATACTTAATTCTATCTCCTTTCAATGTGGAAAAGACATTACCTAAGCATTTCTAAAGCCTATTGATCATCTCTACAGGGTGGCTTTTAAGGAACATCTCATTGTGTGAAGAACTATGCTCTTATGAACTGGAATTATAGGCTTGTACTATCATGCCTAGTTTATAATTTTTTACAATTTTAAGCTATTTTTAGATGGTTCCTGCCCATTTTGATTTTAGTAGTAATGTCTCCCTAGACCTCTCATTTCCATTCATCTCTTATTTCCAGGCTATTTTTAGACCAACTTTAGTCAGTTTACTCTGTGACCCACATTGTGAGGTGGAGAATCTCATTCAAAGGACAATATTAGGCAAGTTGTATTACTTATTTTTCAACTTCATAATGTAAAATTTGAGATTTTTAATATCTTGACCATATGTCACTATAATTTTCCATTGAAGCTATACATGTATTTTAGGAAAGCAATTGACTTATCCAATACAATCAATAATGTTATTTTTCAAGGATGCATTTAATCAAGTTGTGATTTTTAATTAGTAATGCTCCCCCTTAGTTAAATGTGAAAGAAATACTGTCATTATAGATTATCTCAACACTATTTATATACAATGACCATTTCTCTTCAGTACTTGAGAAATAGCCCACAGAGAAATATTTTCAAGGGAATTTTGACTTAAATCACTGTCAAATCCAATAGAAAGGCTGGGCATGGTGATACAGGCCTGTAATCTCAGCATTTAGGAGGCTGAGGCAGGAGGATTGCTGTAAGTTTGAGGCCATCCTGGGCTATTATAGCAAGACCCTATCTCAAAAAACAAAAACAAACAATCCAGTATATAAAATTAAATTGTCACATAATGCATGCTGAATAAAAAGAGATGTGGAAGGTATATTAAGAATTAATATAAAAGAGAAAATATATTTGTTTTCAGACATTTAATCAGGGCTAACAGAGTAGTTCCTGATAGTGTGAAAATTTGAGCATCATGATCAGGTCTGCCTAAGGAAGAGGAGGGCTGGATAAGATTTTAGCTAGAGGGACAGAATTATTGACTGGTTGAGGGAATCAAGATAAAATGAGAAGCTACTAAGGAGCCAAGTTGTCAGTTTAGAGAATTGGAAGAAAATTTAATCATAATAATACCTTATTTATATATCACTTTATAGGTTGTGAAACACTTTCCTTTTTTATTATTTAATCATCTCACTGCTGTACGTTTTCGTTCAGTTTTATTGATGAGTGAAGTAAAATTTAATGGAGGTTACATAAAGTAAACGCAATAAGTGATATGAACTAATGTCCTAATCCTGAGTTTCTTACTTCTCATTCACTAATATCACAGATTGTTGAATCAAATACTAAAAGGAGGACAAGATAGTCCTATGCTCTTAGGAAGAACCAGTCACTGGGGCAAGAAAAGTGTTATTAGGTGAGACTATGAGGCAATCAGTAGAATTTTAAGTGTCAGGTTAGGGGTGCTGATTGCTTTTTGTTTTTTAAATTTTTGCATGATGGTGTCCACAGTTCTTGGGAAAGTAAATGACTTGTGGATCTTCCTCGGCCAACTTTAAATACCTCAAATTCTCTCATGGAAAACTGGAACCCAGACTTCAACTTTAATAGAGAAAGGCTTTGGAATTCGGTCTAGATTGTTTTGAACTTAACATTGCTTTTCGAAAAAAGTGGGACAACAAAGAGTTGACCATTTTTTATAAAGCTTAAATTTGAATAGTACTTCTTTTTTTTTTAAGTTGTCAACAATCTTGTGAAATAAGCCAAAGACTATTATTATCCTTAGTTTTGGGAAGACTAAACCAACTTTGATATAGTTAACAGTTGTTTTAGGTTTATTGTCTAGATTAGCTCTAAATTTTATTAAATTTGAATAACTTTTTTCTCTTGAAGATTGCAATACTAAGTAAATGGAAGATTAGAACAGAGGTCTATTATGAGTGTTCCAGACCTAAATCAATGTATTGGTGCCACTTCTTTCACAAAGACCTGCCTGCCTGGTAATAATCCAGATCCTGGCTAGGATTTTGGGTTTTACAATACAGAAAGCAATAAGTGTACTTATTAGGATTTTTTTAAAACCCTGCCTCCCTGTGGGATGTGAAAGTTTAAGATATCTGTCTCCTTTGAACGCTGTCATTTGTGTTCTTTTCCACATTGATATTTATTAAATAAAAATAAGTGAAACTAGGTGATAAAGTAGTAAAAGCATAAGCAGCTGGCATTTATTGAGAATAACTTGAGTAGGCAAAATTGAATTCTTGGGGAAGAATTTCTTAGGTCCTGGGTCTTAAAGGCTTATGTCTTTATCCCAGGTACTTTAACAAATAATGGCTTTATTTTTATGTTTATTGAACAAAAATCTATTTTCTGTTCTCATAACATTTGAGTTTTTCTTCTGTTTAAAAATAAATCTTGGGGTTTTTTTCCTCAGTTTTAAAAAATGTTAGCCTAAGTGCCTCTCAAAAGATGAAAGATTTCTCATTCAAATTTATTTTACTCATTAAGTGGACTTTTTTCTTTTGTTCACGTTTTGCAGTTTTAGTATTTAATGTTATAGTTAATAATCTTCCAAGTACATTGGAGGCTTAAAGTATTATCATTTAAATTACCATTAAGATGGAAGATTAGCATTGAATGTACCCTTGTATGGATTAAATAATTAAAATTATAATTTTATCAAAAGGATAAAAGAGTGGTGTTACATTTCTGTTCACGTGTGTCATTCTGTCTTTATCTTATCTCTCTGGATTAAGTGATGACATACTGTTCTTTATTTTCTTGGGTTTTGGCCCAAGTTTGACTCCCAGTTTCATCTTTCCTACTCTGCTGCCCTGTGGAGGAATAGAGAATGAAACAGCATTTGTAACTGCATGTATTGGCATAAAACTGGTTACCATGTATTCTTTTTCCCCTGCCTTTTTTTTTTCCTCCCCCAGAATCCAGATTATCTTCAGTATTCTATCAATACAGCTACAGCTCTCTGCAGTTTAAATTCAGTGGTACATAAAGAAGATGATGAACCCAAAATGATGGACACTGTATAATTTGGTTAAGACTGCTGAGGCCAAGTGCTATTTTGTTACAAGAAAGGAAGAACTTGGCTATTTTCTTGACACTTTTATGGGTGCTGCACTTTATTTTTGTTTGGTTTTTGATGGGAGGGGGAAAAAAAAGAGTACTGAAATGTTTTTTGTAATTTTTTTTTTAATGTGCTGCTAGGTTTTTTGTTTTGTTTTTTGAAGGGAGGTGTGGTACCACATGTTGGGGGAAGTCAACGACTCCCCCTACCACCCCACCCCACCCCACTACTAATTTTGCCTTTAATGTAATTGTTCTGAATTTTGGAATCAAGTTATGAAAATCTGCACAAATGCAATGTTTACAAGAACTGGTTGATTCTAGGAAGCATCTGCTACACAGTCTCTTTTTATGTGGATATGCACATGTCCTACTCTACAGAAATCATTAAAGATAAAAATACACTTATCCCACTGATAATTTAGCTGTCAAATCTGGTGTTTCATTAAAAGCAATAAATCAGTAGTTGGTAATCTATTTTACTAAACAAGTTGGTTGGCACAAATTTTTAAAAGTCTTTCCTCTTAAAATATTAATTTGTATTTTCGGCACCATCAGTTAAATCCTGACTATAATACAAATTTGATTTAAAGACATTACATTTATCCCCATAGTATTCACTGAAGTGTTCATTAGAAGTTGATTTTTACCCTTTTGACTTAAAATATTAAGAATCGTAGTGATATAAAAAATGACTAACTTATATTTTGTGTTCCTTTTAAGTAAGATAAATTAAAAGCTCACTCTGAATTTCTTGACATAGTCTAGGATCTCTCAGGGAGTAAGTTTTAAAAGAATATTAATGGCCTATAAGAACACAGGAAGAATGATACAGTTTTTTTAAATAATGGTTATTGTTTGTTTCACTCTGATGTAGCTTTGTTTTTAAGGCTTGTAAAAAGGCAAGAGAAATCTTGTAGAGCTGACTGCCTTAAGCTGCCAGCTACTTAATTCTAAGAATCTGGTAACCCTTCATATGGTAATGGCTTTTACTACATTTGTTCTTTTTTTAGCTGTAACCAGAGAATGCTTCTGAGCATTATTACTTCCAATACAATTTACTTAAATATCAGGATATTTGATGATTCATTTTATTTAGAGCTAGATGACAGTGCTAACTACGCTGTCCTTGTTGTTTGAGGATTAATCTGACAGAAACACAAGCTTTGATTGTATTTGAGTGTAATATGTGACTTGGTATCCCTTGAGACTAGTAGCAGATATTTGGAAGAGGACTAACTGGGATTGGGAATACATGTCTCAATTTAAGAAATTAAACTAAGGGACCCATATGGAGATGAGAACTGTGACCTTGGCCTCTCTTGCACCTTGTGAGGTGATTAGGCACTTAGTACATAGAGAAATGGACTGGAATTATTGAGTCATCCTCTGTCACATCACAATCTCCCTGGTTTTCAGAATAAAGTCTTTTGTGCTTTTGATATAAAGATATGGTCTATAATAAAATGTTTGGCTAATTTATACAGTAGTAGTCATCAGACCGGAAATTTTTTTTTAAATTTTTAACCAGATGTTCTGGTCAGAGAAAGGCACATCCTCCCGCTTCCTGTCTGGAGCATGCACTTGTTTTCCCTTCATAATTAATGGAAGGAATGGGCATACACACAAAACCCTCTCATAGAAATGTTACTTTATTTTTTTGCAGTACTGGAGATCAAACTCAGAACTTTGTGCTTGTGAGGCAGGCGCAGTGCCACTGAGCTAAATCCCTGGTCTTCAAACTAGTATTTTCAATTTCACTCCTCTTTCATTCTTCCTTTACCTGTAATCATCAGAATTGTTTTTAACCTTCATTTGCCTTATTGTTAGAGCTACTAATGGCTGAAGACTGGTGAGCGAGAAAATATGGACAAACTGAATAAACTATTCCGAAGGGGTTTGTATTGTTTTTTAAAACAGAGATTACTGAAGAACAGTTCTTAGAAATTTAACTATATATATATTTTTTTACTTTGAAGAGGAAGTGTTCTGTGTTCTGAGTGTATTAAGGTATGTTTGTGTCTGTTTTGGGAACCACTGGCTGATGCCATAATTTGCACTTAAAAGACCTTACGTAACTAACAGTACTTTAGTACTAAGAATAGCCAATACCCTTTTTCTTTTATTCATTCTGAAAATATCCTCTTTAGTACTGAGAACTAACTCCTTCCAAAAATAATGTCCTGTTTTCTGTTTCTTAATAATAAAGAAGAGTACACTCAGCAAAGAGATAACTCATTATTTCAGGATGGACAGTTTTCTCTAAACAAGTTAAACTATGGGATGTCCAAACTGATTAATGAAACATCTTTGACATCAAAGTATTACACAAAGATTCTTGTTTCACTTGATAAAAATCTTGTAATAAAATGCTTTTTAAAAAAATCAAATAGCTATCATTCCATTTATTCTGTTAACTCAGTGTCATTGTATCAATGCTAGTGGATAATAGTGATTTAAAATTAATACTCTAATGTAGAGGATGGGCAACGTTCTCTTCCAGTTACACCATTAGTGGGCTTTTTCCATTTTTACCTAGAACTCACAACCTCCTATAACTTCACTTTCGGAGAAGCAGGCTTTCTTTTTTCAGATTGGCATTCATATTATTCTTTTAAAAGTGAATTGGGCTGGGGATTTAGCTCAGTGGCACCTTGCCTGACTTGCAAGCATAAGGTCCTGCAATGGATCCCTGATATCAAAAAATAAAACTGAGAGCCGGGGATTTAGCTCAGTGGTTTGGTGGCCTGCCTCGCAAGCGCAAGGACCCAAGTTCAATCCCCGGTACCAAAAAAAAAAAAAAAAAAGCTGAATTGACGGGCTGGGGATTTAGCTCAGTGGCTCAGCGCTTACCTGGCAAGTACAAGGTCCTGAGTTTAATCCCTGATGGGAATTCACATGTCCAACAATTAAATATGCATGTGTTTTATTTTGAGACAGTGTCTTCATTAAATTATCGAAGCTGGGCTTGAACTTTGTCTTCCTGCCTTGGCCTCAGAGTGCTCAAATGACCCCACACCCCACTTAATAAGTGTATTGCTTACAAAATGAAAACATTGGTCATAGGCTTAAGCTAGGTATTTACTCTGGGTGTTTTTAGGGAAAACGTCAATTTACTGTTCTCAAAGTAGGTAACGTATTTTGGTTCTACTTAATCTGTGGTTCAGTTTTGCTACTGTGTCATACACATTTTAATAACCTTAAACCTTATGCGTTCATTCCCATCTGTAATTGACGTGTATACTATTTCATTGGTCTTCTGAGAAGCAGATTGATTTCATATTTGTTTGCTTACTATGTAAATTCATGGGCATATAAAGATGAATAAAAGCTGATTATGAACTGTTTACTATCTAGTAATGGAAATATTCTCATAAGCTTTAAAGAATTAGCCTTGAAATTTGGTGTTTTCTAAATACTGTATAGAAAATGATTTTTTAAAAAATTTCCACATCTTTCATTTGGCTTCTTTAAACACCATGATTATTAATACTGTTTACTCTTCAGACCCTTGAAAATCTTAGAAAAGTATGGCAGATAGTGGCCTGATTTACACTTTGGGATGACAATTTACTGTAAGTGCTATATATTGTGATCCTTAGGGAGCTTAAAAAAAAAATGAGCTGTATAGAGAGATTACGGATCTGTGTTAGCCTTTACTATAAATGTATTAAGGATGGTTGACTATTTTAACTCTTAAGTATTTTTTAAACCATGACTTCCAAGATGAAAATCTTCAATTGCAAGAATAGGAAAGCTATTTCTGCAGTTTATCATTGTCTCTTTTGTCAATGAGAAGACAAATTATAAGCAGGTTTAAGGGCCGGGGATTTAGCTCAGTGGTTCCAGCGCCTGCCTCGCAAGCACAAGAACCCAAGTTTGATCCACAGTACCAAAAAACAACAAAAATCACCATAAGCAGGTTTAAAATACAAATTTATTCTGTTGGTTGCAAGTACTGTATTACAGCAATTTAATGTGACATGATTTGTTAGTATAAGGCAGTTTTGTTCCAAGCTATGAGGACCCAAAATATTTTGCTAGAATACCATTGGACATAGCTAAAGGATGGAGAGGGAGGTAGCCAGGGGATTGAGTTTGGAAATTTGAGCCAGTATTTAATCTGTTTCAGATGGAATTGAGAGCTGAAATACAAGTGGTAACAATTACTGCTATTTTCCATTTCCAACCTCACATTTTGCTTGACTATGCTTCTCCAGAAAGTAGGGTAATGGGTTGAGATTACCTTTTTTGTTTGTTTGTTTTTTGAAACAGGGTCTCACTATGTAGTTGAGACTGACGTAGAACTCACTATGTAGCCCAGGCTGGTCTCGAACTCACAGTGATCCTCCTGCCTCAGCCTCCTGAATGCTGGGATTACAGGCATGCGCCACCATGCCCAGCCGAGATTACCTTTTACTAAAGTACAGTAGCTCCTCCTGACTATGACATTCAGCTACAGATATTTCCATGTGACACATAAGTCAGTGGACATCACAGCATTATTTCTTCAGCAGGATGTGCTCAGCAATGATACTCAGCATTGCCTGTGACATGAACCCATTCGGCAGAAAAAAAAAGATTTTTGTTTTAATGAAAAATGTAGTCCTTTCTCAAATGTAATGGATATATGTGCAAAATTATTATTGTTTTGGGGATGGAGAAGGAATGGTCAGAGGGAAAAGAAGTCTTTAATTTTCATAACATTCTTCGCTCCTCTTTAATTTCCAAGTCTCCCAAGGGTGTCATGAAAGCCAGTATGGCTTTATGGACTATAATGATCACAGCAGAAGATAAAGACTTACATAAAACCAAACCATGTACTGTTTTAAGACAGTTTATTAGAATGAAGCCAATGAGAAAGGGCAACAGAAAGGGGGTAGAGTGAGCCTTGTGAATTATCAAAGACAATGTCATAGCCACAGTACTTAAATTTTATTTTAGTAGAAACTCAGGTGTGCCTGATACCTATGATAATAAGTTCGGCAGTTCACATTTTAAGAAAGCACATAATATTAACATTCAAATAAGGCATGAATGAATTAGTGGTTGGAGTCCTTTTTAAAAGCCTTAATCCAGGGACCAGGGATTCAGCTCAGTGGTTCCACTGCCTGCCTTGCAAGCACAAGGTACCAGGTTCAATCCCCAGTACCAAAAAAGAAAAAAAGCCTTGATCCATTTTGAAAGATCAATAATGAATTTTTAAAAAGGAAAATAAGTGCCTCCCCCAATCCATAAGCACCACTGGCTGGCACTTGTATTTTAAATGCCTGAAATAAAATGGGCCAAAGTCTCAAAGGTCAGTTAACAGCTTGTACAAGTGCTTGATACATTTGTTTTAGCACCAGCTAAAATAGTATCACATGGGTTTTTCCTCTCCTCACATTGCCCCACTTTCTGCCTGACCACAACACATGAGCATGCGTCCTTCTTGCTCTACTAAGGAAACACGGTTCAGGATTGTAAATGGCTGCTCAAAGGACACCAGAAGAGTTCTTTCCCCTTACATAGAGCAGTGAACACTAGCAGGCACCAGTTTCTTTGATCAGGAGTAAAGATCTTAGGGAGCTCAGTTACTTTCCTGATCCTTTTTAACCTATCAAGTCTATTTTTATTGCTACACCTGCTTACTAATTATGGTTGTGTTAATGTCAAGGGACTATCTTCCTGGCATGCCTATCTATATTTCCTTAATAAAGTTTGCTTTCTTTACAGACTCACAACTCTTTATTTTTTTTCTTTGTACTGTAATTTGTCAAGGCAAATTATGCATTTGGATTAAAAAGAAGTGACAAGTAGATCCTGTATTTCTTAACCTAATATTCAAAAACCGGACTTCATATTTTCCATTGAAAATTCATTCAGGGCTGAGGATTTAGCTCAGTGGTTCCATTGCCTGTCTTTCAAGCGCAATGTCCTGAGTTTGATCCCCGGTATCAAAAAGAAAAAGAAAAAGAAAAAATTCATTCACTCTTGGTGCTAATCTAAGAGTTTTATGTCATTTTAACAAATACTCTCGGCACAATATGCTAAGTGATATATTTTTATAGCAAATTGGAAAAATTCTCAGTAAACCAAAGTGGTATCTGATGATAAACACAGCATATGTAGCTAGTTTACATGTTTATTAGTGTAAAGGCAACAATGAATCTGCATCTTGGCAACAGATCTATAAATTCAGGGGTTTTTTTGTAATTTTGTCAGGAAACTATAGATAGTGTCTCCCAAAACCATATTCCACAGCACTAGAAAAAAAAATTTTTTTTCCCATCACTCTGCAAAAGTCTCATGGTGTTTTCCCCAAGTGACATGTTTTTGTACTTTTCCAGAAAATATGAAAATTTGATTTATCAAATATTGAACTGAACAAAAAGATTACTACCAGTTGCTCTTTTAATTTGACTCAATTTCAATCCGCCATACCAAAAAACAATTTACTTTTTTTTTGTTGTTTCAACATACCTGGTGTTTTATAATTACACACCTATGAAAGATAAATGGATACAACATAGTAGACAATATCAAAAGATAATTTTAGTATCTGATTCATTTGGCACATCCTTAATAATACCCAGAATAAAATCAGTAGAAATAAAATAATTTTCAAAGAATTCATACATGATTGAGTCTTAGAAAACAAGCTGCTAAAAAGGCACAGGCGTTTCTTCTGCTCATCTCACTAGTTACATGCTTTTCTCTCATGGAGTAACTGAGGCTTTCTGGTTGGCTTGTGGAACTTTTGTTTGTAGGAAAGCATATACATGCGGCCAGATCTTGTTGGTTTCTGTTCCAGAGAATGTTTCCAACACCCCTTTTTTCCTAAAGATGGAAAAAAATCCTTAGGCCTGAGTCCTCCTAATGAACCTTTTCAAAAAACTTTTCCATGAAAGATAACAATATAGATTTAGGAGTTTCTTAAATACAGATCCATGTGATTAAGAGAAAGGAACTTAGCCAATCATTGGAAAACCTAGATTTTTCGTTTCAGCTTTGCCCCCTGGCTTACAGAAATGGGCACCTCAAAAATAATAGCAGATGTCATTTATGAGGCATGGACTGTGCTAATTTAATCCTTTACAAAGCTCAACTTTTCTTACTTTACTGCTAAAACTGTCTTGTTTGTAAAATTAACTTAGCCCAAATCACCAAGTTGGTAGGTTTTCAGTGGGACCTGTCAGGCACCAGAACACCCCTTTGTCAGCTTAAGTCTTATGCAAAATGAGCTTTCTGGTATTTCATTATCCTTCCTCTTTGCTGAGGTTTATTTTCTTCTAGTCTGCCTTTGTGAATTTTAACAGGAAGGGGAATAGAAAATGTCATGTCTTTTTGTTTTTCCTATTAGGCTCCAGCATTTCTCCCAGGCAGATTTGCCTGGCTTGTGATGAGACCAGTAGGCAGTCTTTTATTTAGTCTGGTTTCCTGTGGGTCATATGGTGAAGAGTGAGATCAGAATCCTGGGGTTGCTTTTCAAACCACACATCCCTCCTGAGTCTGCCGCTCTTGCTAACCACCACCCCCTTCTAATCCAAACACACTCCTTTGTATATACATGGGTTGAAAGGCAGCATAAGAGCAACTGAAGAATGCCGATTTACTACTTTCTGTAAAGGACTAGTCATATCTTCCTCTGCAACCCTTCTTAACTAAGTTTTCAGAGTTTTTACTTGGCACAAAAGGATTCCTTCTTGATCCCTCATAAAATTTGTTAGTGAACTCCCACTGTTCTTGGTAAGAAGCATCTGCTCTGGAGATAAATTATGTAACACAGTATCCTTTGAATTTCAGTGTCTAAATTCACAGGTATCTAGTCGGGCTTTCAAGAGAACGATCTGAATAAGTTTCAGCCTTTTAAAGAGAGAGCCACTTTCATATCAAACCACGGTGTCACAAGTGAGTTAATTACTGAAGGCTCAATTGCAGGCACCTAGTCAGTCCTAGAACCGTACTTTGGATGAACACTTCCTTGTATCAAAACTGAAGTTCCAAACATTAGTCCTCCAGACAGTAAAGAGCATTATGTTTGTAAACACAGACCCAGCCTACTAATGTACTTCAGGTGAAAAGAGCTTAAAAATGCATGGCTCAACATTTTAAAATAGTGCTACACCAAAGTTCTTACAGGAGCTAGGCATGTAGCTCAGGAATGTGCCTGCCTGGCAAGTGCAAGGTCCTGATTCAATCCCTCGTACCGAAGGAAAAAAAAATATGCTATTTCCAATATTAAACTAGAACTAGCATTAGTTCTACGTGTGAGAACATACAAGAAGAAGCCAAATGATGGCATGAGGTACCAAAGCCTGAAGAAGCCTAGAAAGACTAGGGTATCTCTTTAAAGGCTCATGCCATTCCTTTCTGCAGCCTTTCCCAACTTCCCACATTTGGGCAGAACTAGTTAGAGCCTCGGATCTACCCACCAATAATGTAGTCTGCTCTCTGGATTCTGCTGGAAATCTCCCCAGAAGTTTCAGGTGAGCCTTCCCACTCCACTTCTTCAAAGGTGGCGTGGTCAGAGCTGATCTGTGAGCCACAGACTCACTGGCAGTGAGGCTTGCTTTTCTGTATGAGTCGCTGAACTGGTAGGAGTTGAGCTAGTGTTGAGCTGCCACATGGGGAGCCCACTTGAGACTGACCAACACCCAGAAACAGAGCTTGATGGTATTTTTTTTCTTTTGTTTTTAGATAGAATCTCACTCTGCAGTTCACACTGGCCTTGAACTCATGTAACCCAGGCTGGCCTTGAACTCATGGTGATCCTCCTGCCTCAGCTTTCCAAATACTGGGGTTATAACTGTGTGACACTGTGCCCAACGATATTTTTTCCAAGACTTAGACCCAACCATCTACCTTGGGACTTCTTAGTTATATGACCAACAAATTTCTCTTCTTCTTAAGCCATTGTGAATTAGGTTCCTGATTAATAAAAGCATGCAGTGGCAGGTACAGTAGCACATGCCTGTAATTCTAGCCCTCAGAAGGGTGACGCAGGAAGATAGCTGTCTGAGGCCGCCTAGACTACACAGTGAGACCTTGTCTCAAAAAAACCTAGTAACAAAATAAAAGCATGTATCACGTTGCATGGTAAACATTGCTTCTCTACCTCTCCTCATACATATATAAAAGTGAGCTCCTTGGGGCCTGAAAGGAATTGGGTCTAAATGTCTGTATACCGAGGGCCTGGCACAGCATAAGCAGAGTAAGTAACAAATCACTGACACTAGGTGCATTAGCAGACACAGCTAAGTCTTCCCACGGATCCTCTCGCTTCATTCCCTTAACATCCTTACAGCAGGTACTACAGATATTCTTTCTTTAACATCTACCTGTTTAACGACTCTGCACTTACATTCAAGGCCCACTGTTCAGATTTACGACCTGCCACTTAGACTCAGGACAGATCCCTTTTTTTGTACAGTTCTGTACATCTTGTTTACAGAGTCCCATTGCCTTCTCTTACACAGTACACCTTGTGTGTACAGTACAGTAACTTTTGCTGATTGTACTGTAGTTCTGTTATACATTACAGTCCTGCATGTAAGAGTTATGCAAATAAAAGCAAAACCATCAAGTTGGAGTTTCCTTTGACCATTTCTTTGTTCTTAATATTACAGTGTACATACTACAAACAATTCATCGCTTAGCGACCGATTCACTTAATGACCCGGTCGCAGGAACAGAGCTCAATCATTAAACGAGGAATACCTGTATTTAATACTGCCTAATCTTATAAATGAGGAATTTATGGTACAGGGGCTAAACACATTGCCCAGACTCACACAGCTAGTAACCTTCAAAGCCAGGCTCATTATATAAATCACAAAATTACAGCAACAGCTGCTGTAAAAATTGAACCGCCAACTGTTTCATCATTTCACTCGCCAGAAATACCTATTAAAACCGTCTGGAGACTATTGCTTCAGATTTTCTTGTATACTTAGCTCTATTACAATAATGACTACTGTTAAAACAGCTAATAGGTACATAGTGTTTGCTGTGTGTCAGGCATAATTTTAAGAGTTACACAAACTAACTCACTTTCAAGCCTCTATTCTCCTGCTTTACAGAGGACAAAACGGGCAGAGTTTAAGTAAGGGGTTAAGGCTAAGGTTATCAAATAGCGAGATGGGACTTGAATTTGAGCATTCTGGCTCCAGAGCCTGTGCTCTCGCCTTGACAATGAATCATTACTCGGTGAGCCAATGGACGAAAGGCGAGGGGGATGGCCTGCACCAAACATTAACACAGAATACCTCCCGCTTTGTGTGACATGAATTCCCCGAAGAACAGACAAAGCCCGTGTTAGAATAGCAGCTTTTAAAGACCATTAGCCAGATAATCAGGGTTAGTTTTCACTTAAGATTCTTCTGTTCTAAGCATCCTCCTTTGGCACGTTCAGAGGGCAAAGGGTTTGCCTCCCCAGCTGGCACCCGGCCCTGTCAGCGCCCAGCAGGAATGTGGACGAGGCTGGCCTACTCCCTGCTCTGAGAGTGGACTTGTCAATGTTATCCTTCCCGGCCCAGTGACCCAGGCCTGGAACTTCAAGACCCTGACAACAGCAGGGCTGTTCAACTGGTTTCATCTGAGGGCTGGGGGCTCTCGTACACTGCGGGGAAGGTTACTCCTCACTCAGTTCTCAGGAAAGCAGCAGCCCTGCCTGTTCCCGGCAAATGTCTGCAACCATTCAGGCAACGTGAGGGCAAAGCCGACAGTACAGAAAACGGCAAAGCTGCGAGGATGGCAGAACTTTGATCAAACCTAGGACTGACAGGCCCAACCTACATCTGGAATTCTTGTTACACAAGCGAATAAATTTCCTTGATTGCTTAAGCCAACTGAAATTGGGTCTTCTGGTATTTTAGCTGTAAAGGGGAAAATAAAAACCGGACTTTGTGTTTTGTCATGTAAGAGAGGTTCCACAAAGCAAGAACTCACTGGTAATATTCCAGGACTGGCTCTGTTTGGGCTTCATACGCCTTGAGTCTCTTGATCACCGTCTCTGGTTTATCATCCTCACGCTGAATCAGAGGCTCTCCTGTGAGATCGTCAATGCCCTAGACAGGAGTTAGAAGAGACTGGTATCCAGTAACTTATCTTTGAAGGATATTTTTATATGCAGTTTCATTATTTTTAATCAGATATCTTCTCTGTGTAAGCAACAAGCACAAAAATGTGTTAGCTTTTAAGTAGATGGAGTCCAACCCACGATGGATGATAACAATGCTTCATGATAAAGCAGGTGCCACTGTCATGCCTCATACCACAGGCCTCAAAGCAACGAGCCAACTGATCATGGACTGAAACCTCCAAATTGGAGCCAAAATAAACCTTTTCCCTTCTTAATTTGATTATTTAGATATTTGTTACAGTAGCAGAAAGCTAATATACATAGATCTTAGTTAAAAGGTTTTCTAAGCTGCCTCTAAATAAACCAAAATATATACAGCATTAGATTCGGCAATAGACTTGGAATCTCAGCTGCAAGCCAGTGTTGCAAATCCCCATTGCCTGACCACCTAACACTCTGGCACAGCGTTCAAACTCAGTATACACTTCAGAATGAATCACAAACTCCTGTTGCTCCTGGAGCACCTTTACTACCAAGGTGAGCGGACCAGACTGGTCTGCCAGACCAAGTAAGCTGAGAATACACCCTCAGGACCTTTGGTCAGGCAGAGGCCTTCCAAGTTCTCAAAACGCAGTGAAAGCAAGAGGACTTAAGGAGCATCTGTTCAGGGAGAGTCAGTTCCACTACAACTACTCACCACAGCTTTGGGAGGGTTGAATTCGATGTTGTAGACTCTGCCACTGGCTGGATGAATCCAGCGGGCAGTGAGACGTTGTTTAATGACCTCGAAGGGCACATCCAGGTTAATCACTGTGTCTATCTGATAAGCTCTGTCCAGGGCTTCTGCCTGTGGAAGTGTCCTTGGAAAACCTTTACAAAATAAACAGAAATAAAGGGAAGGGGAGAAAAGGGTGAAAAGGAAGAAAAGAATTTATGTTGAACAAAAGGAATAACAACAGGGAAGCTGATCACAGCTGTAGTACAACCGTGATTGTTAATTTTTGTGTGTCAGTCTGACCAGGCTATGTGGTGCCCAGATGTTGGATCAGACGTTCTGGGTGTGTATATGAGGGTGTTTCTGTGTCTGATTAACATTTAAATCAGTAAGTGGAACGAAGCACATTGCCCTCCCTCATGTGGATGGGCCTCAGCCAGTCAATTTGAAGGCCTGAGCAGAAAACATTCTGAGACTCCTCCAAGTAAGGAGAATTCTTTCTGCCCCACTGCCATCTAACTGGGACGTCTACATCTACCTTTTCCTGCCTTTGAACAAAAACTGAACTCAACTTCAATCAAAACCTCAAGTGTATTTTGGGGGGGGAATATGACAAGAAACTTAAAGCAGAAAAATAAGCCCTAAACTTGAACATCCCTAATCCAAAATTCTGAAATCCAATGATGCTAAAAGTCTCAGATTTTGGAGTATTTTGAATTTTGGGTTTTGAGAATTAGGGGTGTTCAACCAGTGAAGTCTATGCAAATATCCCAAAGTACAAAATCTGAAACTCTTCTGGCCCCAACCATTTCAAATATGGAATACTCAACCAATATAGCTAAAGTAGTTTAAACAATGTAGTTGAAAAGTACAGAGAAATGCCAGGGATGTAGTTCAGTGGCGCCATGCCTGCCTGGCAAGGACAAGGTCCTGAGTTCAATTACCAGTAAGGGGGTGGGGGGGATACGGAGAAAGGCAAATGTAACTGATTGGTGAATCCGTGAATAGAATCAAGTATATTAGAGAATTAAAAATAATATATTACTTGACTCTGCAATGTCAGCACAAAGGACATATTCTCCAGAACACCAAGAAAAGATAAAATTGGTAGAAAATATATTTTTCAAAAGTGACAAAGATTAAAACTGCACAAGCAATAATTTTTTTTGAGCTAAAAACACATTTCCATGTTAACACTAAAACGTGGAAAAATTTGCCTGTGAGTTAGACTTTATAATGTGCTAAAATAACAATGATAATGGCTAAAACTGTACTCAGGAAACCAGATTTGGGGGAAAGAGCCTCCAAAGAAAGCATACAATAGCAAAATGAAAGTCATTTTTAAAAAGGTAAACTTTAAAGCGATTCTAATCCTGGAGTTCTTTGAAATATGCTGGAAGACTTAGGTTTCTTAATCTTAAATCATGTACTTTTTTCTGTAATAGAATTCTGGTTCTTTTGCATAATGGCATAAAGCTGAGCAGAGGATCATGGGTGCTAACCTTTATTCCACTTTTGATACTACTCTCCAATCTTGCAACACAATCTTGTTTCTCAGAGTTTAAACGCCAATCAGAGGGCACTGAGGGGAGTAGAAGTTACTTTATATATGTAGTAGTTGAGTTGAACTGCTTTTACATTAAAGTTAAAATTGATCTGTGTTTCTTAAACCTTTAATTGTCACAACTGTCAGATTTCACTGTTGTTTTGGTTTGGTTTTTTTGAGACAGTGTCTCACTGTACAATTCAGGCTGGCCTTGAACTCACTATGCAGCCCAGGCTAGTTTAGAACTTGCAGCAATCCTCCTGTGTCAGCTTCCTAAGTGCTGGGATTACAGATGTGCACCACCATGCCCAGCTCTGACAGATTTTTTTTTTAACTGCCACCACACAGGTTTTGGCATCTTTTGTGTTCTTACCTCTTAAACGCACGTGAAATTTGTAAAATAAGCAAGTGAAATTCATATATTTTATCAATCTCCCATTTTTGTAAGGGAAATATATATTATATATATACATTTTTTTACTCTGGGCTTTGTTTTGCTTTGCTTTAAAAGTCTACAAAATAAGGCCCCTACTTTAACATATGTACAGATCACAATTGTTTTGTAATGGCAAAAACTCAAACTATACAGTTTTTAACAACAAAATTAAATAATTAAGCATTTATTATAAAGTTTACAGGGAAGTGGCCCCGAGAATACAATGGGGGACAGAGTACCAGGACTGGAGCGGTGCCACCGAGCTAAATCTCTTGTCCTGGAAAACAATTTTAATATATTTAATAAGAATAAATGGATTGCTGGGAATTTAGCTCAGTGGTTCTGCTGCCTGTCTCGCAAGCACAAAGTCCTGAATCTGACTCCGGTACCAAAAAAAAAAAAAAAAAAAAAAAAAAA